GAATAATTGATAGATTGAGTGATTGTGTGAGTGAGTTGGTATGAGGGAGAGAAGGAGAGGTTGATGTGTCTCAATTTGACGTCAATGTCGAGACCAGCCATGTCAAGTGCCGGGCGACATTGAAAGTGTGTAATTGTGTACTTTCTCCGAAACGCAAGTGGACGCTCCTCTCGAGGTAGGGTCAAGTGGTACATAATCTGACCCTCCAATCAACCCTCTCATCACATTGTCCTCCAATCTGGCATCCAGACGATTGCACACGCAAACACATCTGCGTCCCAATGGGAATGACACAACTCCCTCACTCCTGCTCTCTCCCTCTTATGCAAACAGACACACATGCACACACACACACGCCACCTGCCACAGAACTGAGGTCACTTCCACTACTGGCCTAAGACGTGGGAATAGCTATGACGTAACCGGTTGTGAATTATGTCTTGAAATGTCGAACAATATAAAACCCACGTAGGCAAGCATACACAACACAACACAACACAAAAACACAAACAAAGACTTGAGGGCATGGGCAAAGAGGGAAAGAGGCATAAGAAGAGTAAAGTAAATATGAAGCACGCCCTGGAAACAATACAAATTCCGCTAATTTATACGATTCCGTGACTTTCTTCTTTTTCTTTTTCTCACTCATCGTCGTCCACATTTTCTTCTGCTTTTTGCCTTCCTCATTTTAATCCTCCGCCTATTCATTCTCCTGTTCCTCTGAAGGAACCTGTCGCCTGGGGCAACTGCCAAACCATTTGGTCAGTTACACCTTGACGACGATCCGCAAAGCAGTTTCCCTTTAGCCCCCTTCAAAGTCATGAAGTGAGACTTGCGTCCATCTGCCCACACGAGCCGTTGCTCTTCCCTAACACACCACTTGAACCAATGGACAATGTGTCGATCTTTCCGACATTTCGTCCTATTCGCTTGCCCAAAAAAATTCACGATTTCACCACAAAAGACAACAACGAGGCGACAATCATTCGCAAAACATACAGTCACTAGTTCGAACCTTAAAGCATGGGTATGAGCGAATTCACTCATTCACACATTCAATTATACAGTCAATTATTCAGATGGCTGATCTTCTCGGTGTCATGGTTTAAATATTAATTTACAATTAACAAAGTCAATGGGGAAGTAGATATTTAAAATAGGCCCTGAGCAAGCAATTGGTTATTTCTGTCACTTCTGACGTTGTTAGTCCGTTGGCCGCTCGGCAACTCTGTACTTCCGTCTGACAGCTTCTCAGCCATAAAGTTTATAATTTAGTCATTGAGCCAGGACAGTCTTTCAGGTGAACAGACGGCCACTCATTTAACCATTGCATCGCTAGTTCAGTCTGTAATTGAGACAGTCTTTTAAACAGTCAGGAAGTCCAAAAGTAATTACATCAAAAAAGCCAAATTGAATCAATGAATCATTCGATCATTCAAGCATTCAATCATTCAATCATTCAATCATTCAATCATTCAATCATTCAATCATTCAATCATTCAATCATTCAATAATTCAATCATTCAATCATTCAATCATTCAATCATTCAATCATTCAATCATTCAATCATTCAATCATTCAA